AACTCTCCTGTCTGAGTGAAATGACATTTTTCTCACACACAACTGGGGGCTTCTTGGAAGCAACAAGTGCATAGTTCAATTCCCCAGAAAAGGAGATGGACAATGATGACTTCTGGGATCTGGGACTGGCACATATGTCATGTGACATTTCCAAGTTGCCTTGTACCTCTGTTTCAAAGTGAGTCTTCGTGCAATACCTTTCATATGAAAATGAGTTTGATTTGCATGGAAATGAAATGTAGGCAGAACACATTTCCATATCAATAGTTTCACACAAAGACTCGTTTTGACACAGAGGCAACTCAGAGGTGGCCTATTTCTGTGATGTGTGCCAGTGCATTGCATTGTGTTGTATTGCTTACTGATGCAGTGTACCCTCATCAGTGGTAATGTGTAGATCCAGAAAATATCCATACCCACCCAAAGAGGGGTCGTCGCAGATTCCGGTGGGGGAGGGGGATCCCCAAAGCCAACATTTTCAAAGGAAACTATGAACCAAAACTAGAATTTCCAAAGGGATGGGGAGTGGGGTGGGGTTTTAATCTGAAAAATCCTCTGCGATAAGGGTATGGATATTTCCTGGAACCATGCAATATATCACAGTACCTGCAGAAATTTTCCAACATCATCTACAATAGTCCTAAACACCAACTCATTTTTCTGCACATCAAACCAGCTTAGTTTTGTTAACCTGGCAAGAAACTAAATAAGGAAGTACATGCATATGATGCAATTAGCAAATGGACATTAACAGAACTTTTCACCCATGTCGCATTTTCCAATTTTTTCATTCAAACAAAGAAAGGCCCCACTGCTTGATTTATCACGTCAAATTTTGTAGACTTCAATATTTTGCAAACTTCAATATTTTGTACAAAGAAATGTATACTAGGGACAATGCCAGTTTGTAACTGATTCTCATGAAACTTCACATATTTTAATACTAAATTCAGCAGAAAAATTGATCTATGGAGGTGGATTTTTCTTTACATTAAAAATATGAAAAAAAAAATTGTTGCTATTACATGACATTGAGAAATGGTTCATTGACTGAAGATTTGACTCTTGAAGCAAAAGGGTTAACAACACAAAATGTCATGAGCAATAACAGAGTCCAAACAATATTATTGTAAATTCTTGTACTGCAAAAACATAAAAGTAATTTAAGTTGGCACCTTTGGAACAAAGTTTAACATTTTATTGCATAATCCAAGACACTTATAATGTAGTGTTGCTCCATTAAATGTTGTATTTACTGTACCTGTATAAGTGACTGTGAAACATAAGTAGCAAGATTTAGTCTTGTTCCAAGGTAGTTCAGGATATAGTTACCTACAATGTGATGAAACCCAAAGTATCGTGTATTTTATTTGCTTAGGTCACCATCTACACAAACGCTCTTTAAGGGCAATTTTTTGTTTATAAATTAATTAGTATTTTATGTATGCATCTTACTAGAACACTGTGGGAGAGCGGTTGGCTAATTGGATTACAATTTAACCTCTCTTGGCTTATAAATCAGCTGGAAAAGTGAGGATCCATATTTTTCAGAACAAACTTAGAAAACCAAGTTAAACAAAATGTTTAGTACATTAATCGTACTGAAAAACAAAATTAACTGATCATATAGTCGAGGCATGTGTAAATTAATTATAATAATTATATGACAAACCAGTCAAAGATGAAAACAAGAATTCTGATTGGTTCTTTGAGCAGTCTAATATGTTTGCCATGTGGACCACTTAGATGAACTGCTCACAAATGAGTTTTGTTTTTTTTCAAAGCATTGCACAAGAAGCAATTTCGTATTAAGTGGAAATCTTTTTTTCTTCCTTCAAGTTTGGCTGGCAATACGAGTTTAACTTTCATGTAAAAAAAAAATATGAAAAACTCAAATGTTAAAATGCTTAACTCTGGCATGCATGTCTTGATTGCAGAGATACATAAATTTATCAGGAGAGGTCTAAAAGAGCCTTCAAAATATATAACTTATCGAAACAGCATGAGGTGTGTATTGAAAGATATTGATATTGGCATTTTGGCACTTTTTTTGGCAAGTTCATGGACTAGCTAAACTTGTAAACAAAAAAGAACTTGACAAATATTCCCCAAATACAAACCTCATGCTAGTTCAATATGCATGACATTTATAATATATTGTACCAATATAAAGTCCCAAGATGATTAACATACTGTAAACTGCTGCTTATAAGCCCTGGGCTTATATAACTTCGTAAGGGCTTTTAGATGGGCCTATAAACAGAGGGGCTTATATTCGAGGGGGCTTAAAACTGGAACAAAAAACCATTTCAAAACAAGCTATAGCTGTGTTGATTGAAAAAGGTTTTTCATTTACTGGGTTTTAATCAAGCTTTAAGACATCATAATAAATCAAATTCAACACAAGGAAAGCTAGAGGG